CTTTCACTAAATGGCTTTTAGTAACTTTAACGAGACCTTAAATTATTTTATTTTATTCATTTTAGTGCAGTTTTGACAAAATATTCTTGCTAAAAAATCTTTTGTTACACTACTTTATTTTATTCCTTTGATTGTACATTTTAAATAAAAGCTTGTTTTTAAAAAATATTTTTTTTTTACATTTTATTTTGTTAGAGTGAATAATTTTTTGTAACTTCTTTTTAGTTCTTATTGTAATTCGAATAGCAAACCGGCATTTAAATATCTGCATACATACATATACATACCTAACCAATTATGCATGCACGCTGAATTCGCCGACAAGCTTTTTTAAAAACAAAGTAAATTAGTAAAAATTGTTAGTAATTTTCATTAGAGTTTGAGTAACTCCTTTCACTAAATGGCTTTTAGTAACTTTAACGAGACCTTAAATTATTTTATTTTATTCATTTTAGTGCAGTTTTGACAAAATATTCTTCCTAAAAAATCTTTTGTTACACTACTTTATTTTATTCCTTTGATTGTACATTTTGAATAAAATCTTGTTTTTAAAAAATATTTTTTTTTACATTATTTTATTTTCTAATTTTTAGTCCATTTATAAAAGCGTTGTATATTAAAAAGTGTTATTTTATTTTAATTACAAAATTTTGCAATAGATATTAAAATTATTCAACTTGCAATGAAAGAGAACAGAAGACTATGCAAGCAAAATGTTGTTTGCATGCGTTTTGTATAAACAGACATACATATGTACATATAGCAGCAGTTAATTTCATTTAAAAAATGGCGTGTCGTCCATTTCCGCTGTAGCGTATGTAATATGCGGCCACTATTATGAGTTGCATTCGATCTTCGACTGTGATCGAAAGTACTGATCGAACGAATTTTCATTTGGTATTATGGCGCTCATTCGACGAAGAATAGCGCTATTGTGAATTTCGCTCGTTTAGGTTGTTCACAATAGTATATTTTTCACCGCCGAGAAGCTTTGTTTACAAATCGAGCAAACTAAATAGTGTGCTTAGACATATGTACATATTTATATTCAACAATTTATAATGAGCTCGAGGCCGTTTTTTAAATGAAAATTTATTGTGGAAAAGCAACTTGAGTGTGCTTGATTTTGTTGGCATAACAAAAATGAAAATAGTGGAAAAAAGCAAACGATAATTTACAAGGCGTACTTAGCACGGTGCATAGGCAACTGGCTGAGTCAGTGGGATCGTCGGTTCGAATCCTACTGAAAGAAGTCTGATGAGGAAATGTGGTGATTTCCGAAATAGCTATCACTTCTACCATTTTTTCAAATGATTGTTGCTTTTCCACAATACTTTTTCATAAAAAACGGCCTCGAGCTCAATATAAATTGTTGAATATAATCGTTATAAGGCCAAAAAAATTACAACAACAAATAACTTAAGGACGAGCACACCTAAAAGTTAACCATTCTACAAATAGAATTATTAGCAAAAAACCAACAATACCAACAACCACAGGATCAAGTGAATTGCAGCGGAATAGCTGCGCTTGATTGTGTTGTCATAACAAAAAAAAAATTAAAATAGTGGAAAAAAGCAAACGATAATTTACAAGGCGTACTTAGCACGGTGCATAGGCAACTGGCTGAGTCAGTGGGATCGTCGGTTCGAATCCTACTGAAAGAAGTCTGATGAGGAAATGTGGTGATTTCCGAAATAGCTATCACTTCTACCATTTTTTCAAATTATTGTTGCTTTTCCACAATAAATTTTCATTCAAAAAACGGCCTCGAGCTCAATATAAACTGTTGAATATAATTATTATAAGGCCAAAAAAATAACAAAAACTTATGTACATATGTAAATTTATGCAAATTAAAAAGAAATAAAAAGAAATCGAGTTTATGAAAA